TTCTCTCTCTCTCTCTCTCTCTCTCTCGACGTCGCCCCGTTGCAACGGGGCGCAAGAAAACCCAAGCCCCTGAAGAGCTTATTATTATCCTAATTATACAATACTATAATGAATGACTCCGCGGCTCACCCTCTAGCCCTTACTCTCACTATCTTCCTCCCGGTGCCGCCCCCTCTCTCTCTGTTCCTCGCGGTTCCTCCCTCTCGCTCCTTTTCCTTTCTTCTCGCTCACCGTTGCTCTTCTCCTCTGCACTTGGTGGTCGAAGAGTGGCAATTCTAGCACTCGGGCTTTTTGTCAAACCGACTACGGAACTAGTGCCGTCTCCCTCGCGCCCTTACACCCTATTATGCGACCAGCCTCGTCTCTCGTCCCGTTTTCTCTCTGTCTCCTGGTGTCTGTTTTAATTAGGCACTTCGCGGATATATATACGTATCTACCATGCGGTATTACGTAGGTACATAACCCAGCCGAGCCCAGCCCAGCCCAGCCCAGACCTAGCCCAGTCTGCCTACCGTACGTATTCCACCTATACTCGGCGATCCGACGAGCTTGAATGCGGTTGATGGGTGGTTGAGTAAGGATTATAGACGCAGGTGACACATACACGTTACCTCCGGAGAGGCTGAAGTCGGGGGTGGCTCGGCCCCGATGGGTGGGTGCCGGTGGTGACGGTTCAAGGAGACGTTGAAATAGAGAGACGGAGCGCGAGATGGAGAGAGAGAGAGGGCACGAGATCGTACACGTGAGAGCGTGCGAAAGGGAGAGCGGCCGCGAAGGGAGAAAGTGAACGCGAACGCGGCGCGGAAGGGGGAGGAGAAGGGGCGCGGGACACGATTCTGCAGAGACACACTCCTCTTTCAATTCTCCTCTCTCGTGTGCACAACCTTCTCTGACTGACTGCTGATAAGAGCACGCGAAATTGTCTTAATTGGCGAGAGAGCCAATCTGGAGTGATCGAATGAGAAGAGGCTCTCGCGTCTCCGCCACCTGACTCCTCTACTCGCCCTTTCTTCTGGTCGCTACCCATAGATCGGAACGCGACGCGCCAAAGATCCCATTGTTTTCTTCCGTTGCTTCGAACGCGTTCGATACCAGAGTGTGTTACCTCGCCGATCTTGTTTCCTCCATCCTTGGTGTTCTTGTTCGTTATCTGAAGTGTCATCCCGCTCGCGCAGCTGCTGGTCTTATCGATGGCTCGGGTTACTTACGACCTGGCCCCTTATCCACGTCGTTAGCGTTCCTGGCTCGAGAGGTGTCGTTAATGTTCTTCGCCATCGCGACGTTGCGACCACGTCGAGAGCACAAATATACCACGAAAAGACCAATTTTCCTCACAATCGCGAACACCTACCTGCTACCACGGTCTGGTTAAGTTAGGTTAGGTTAGGTTAGGTTAGGGTAGCGACGATCGAGAGTCGTCTTGGAGAGAAGGACGAGGAGACCTTCTTGGTCTGGGATGGATGGGTCCCCGAGAGGTAAACGGGAAGCCGCTTAGCGGGCACAGAGGGTTGAAAACGCCGCTTAACGGAATATTTCTAGACACGGTTCGGCTGGAGCAGCGGAAACGACGATGTCGGATATGGAAACGCTCGTCGATCCTCTCTGTTTCATGAGCCGCGTGCGAGTCCGCCAGGCGGAAGCAATCTTAAAAATTGCTCCCAGCGGCACCGAGCGAAGACCAAGACCCGAAGGTTTGAACCGGTTGCCTCGCATTGTCGAGCATTCAGGGACCTCGAGTTATACAAGCCGCAGTAGCACTACCGACTCGTTGCTTTCCCGCTGAACCGTACTTCTTTGCATCCCCTCGGGATCCAAAGTGCAAGATCAACCTGACTGCCATTCTCGCTGCCATTCTGGCCTGCTACTCTAGGATACTTCCACCACCGGGGGCTCGCTTCTCTGTGTGCGTTTAAGGGTGAGGAGGATAGGGACCCCGGAAAGAAAGATCGAGAAAAGAATGGAAAAATATCCGGGCAAGTAGCAAACTCTGCTTACCCGTTTCTCTTTCCACTCTCTCTCTCTCTCTCTCTCTCTCTCTCTCTCTCTCTCTCTCTCTCTCTCTCTCTCTGCTTCTCTTTTTCTGCCTTGCACGTCGCGTTAAGTCATTCTCGACGTTTCCTCGCTCGACTTGTTCGTTCGTGGTGCCCAAGAATGAGAGGACCGCTTTCTTCTTCCACGTCGTCCTTCTTATATTTTTTCTTATCTGTCGCGACGACCCGATTGTTTCATCTCGCTGAATGACGATGGCTACGAAGTGACGGGTAATAAGATTTGCTCCCAGGTTTGTCTACGAGGGAAGATCTCTTGGGAAGCTCGTGATGAGTTAGGTTTATCGAGTTTCTTCGATAATCGAATTTAAAATCGCAGATTATTATAATTATCGCGAATTACTTGTCTTCGCGTGTATGTACTAATAGGGATGAAAACCTATTGGATTGTTGTAGCCCTTTTCAAGGTGTATAGTCGTAGAGTTTTGATCGAATTGTTCCATTGTATTGACATTTTCGACTGGTATCGTGGCGAGCTAAGAAATTTGCATAATGCAAGGTCATGTTAAATCGCCTGCAAAATGGCGTGGAAATCAAGACACTGTCAAAAGGAAACTTACGTTCACCTCTCTAAATGATTAAATTCTCGTTAACACGTTAACTATCATGGTGGTCACCAGCGTTTAGCGATACGAATTTTTTAAATTTTTATTTGTTATAATTATTTTTTGGAAATTCGAACAACGGAAGTAAATGGGACTTTGAATAGAAAATATGAATAATTTGCATCATTTTGTGGTAAGAAGGGTTAACAATATCCAACAAGAATTTCTGTTCGTGGTTATATCTTATATTTCTTGATGGTATAAAATAAACGGGGGTTCGAGGTTTACTGTGGGATGCGTGCTGCACACGATGGACTGTCAAAAAGCGTGTCCCTTCGAACCCTTTGACAAGATTTTTATAGGCTCTACGACAGCGGCTCATTGCGTCATTCAGCCTAGCTTTGAGAAAAATTTATAAGCTGGATGGTTCCTCGAAGCAAAGATAGATCCCGATGCAGGGTGACGTCGTCCAACTAAAGATTCCTCTCACAATTTTCTTTCTTTGCCATATTGCTTGGTAATTCATCGTGATACAGCCTAAGAACAATGGAAATTTTATCGTGGCCCCCTCTGACCCTGGGAGCCAAAGCGTTAAACGATCCATTTGAAATTGGAAGAAAGAAAAACGATTGCTACCGACACCGGTATAATTATCAGAAGACCCCTAAACACCTTCTCAATCACCGATTTAATCCAAAGCTCGCGAATCTATTTTCAAGCGGCAATATATTGCCCACTTCACCCTGACATTTACGCTATCAACCCTCTATGTTTAGACACCGACGCGATCCTTTGAAACATTTTTGATCGTAAACACCCGCTGTTAATTTCCCGAGACTCCGTCTGAATAATCAGCCTGCACGGTGGTGAAAAACGCGACTGCGAGAGATCCGCGAGAAAATTCGCGAAACGTGAAACGCGAAAGGGTGTGCTCCTCTTTGTCGTAACCGGTTGCCATCTTACGAACACGCGACAGTTTCGTTCACCCTTTTGCGCCGCTGAACGAGCCAGCAAACGGTGGCATAGAAACTAAGTCCGACGGCGGTTGGTTGAGTTGAAAAAATAATTAATTTCTTAATCAGCGGCGGGCCCGTATTGAAGCTGGTCGGCGCTGGCGCGCGCGCGCAAAGACGTCGCACAAAGGGCCGGTTCCCGGTTCAAAGTGTATTCGCTTCTGTGTCGGCACGACGCGTCGTAACCGTTCCTTTCCCGAGTTTTCGGTGAGATCCAGCGAAGCGAGGCCACCCCTTGGGTGCCGCCCCTTCTGGATTTCTCCGCGCGAAGGCTCGGGTCACTATTACTATACAAATTACCCGCCAATTAGTGACTTGTGCTTGTTTAACTGCGTTAATTAATGAACGTAAACGGCAAACTTGACGTCGGCGGCTCGATTTTTTCCTTTGCCTCTGCGCGAGGAAAGGAGAGGAAAAAAAGCGCGTATCGCGCGATCCCGCGGCGCTTGTAAGTACGCGCGCACGGGCACTCGTGCTTGTCTGTAAACGTCGGCGGTTGCCTCTGCGAGGGTGTCGAGGTCTTCTTGGACGATACAGTGTAACACGTTCTTAATAGTCTCTTTGAAGCGCGTCGCTTGCCAGCCGACGAGGAGTTGTACACACCTCTTTGCGACTCTCTCTCCCCTTCTTCCTTCTTCACCTTCTGCCGCTTGCGTCAGACCACTTTCGGTATCGACCCTTAATTAATTATCGGTAGTGCATTAGCATTCTCCGTTCCGCGAGAATCAACCTCGAGCATATGGCGCGCGCCGACTTGCCAAGGAGAAAATTATTTTTCACCATTCCCGCGCGGGTTTCGCGCTTTGCGAGTCTGCCCTCAGGATTCCCTGGTATCCTCGCCGAGGTAGATTGCCCTAGGTCGCCTTAGATCGCCGCCAGATTCCACGCTTTTCAAAAGCTTCCGCGAGCTTACTGCGCGTCCAGTTAACCCTTTCCACTCGGCTATCTTTTCGCTACGGAAACAGTGATTCGAAGACTTTCTGCCACGATATTTTCAAAATAAGCAACGCAAATTAATCGTAAGACTTGGAATTATTTATCCTCCATATTCCTTAACGCGTCGTTGAGCAATTTTTAATTCGAGATATTGATTAACAATGATCTTCAGAGTCTGATTAAATGGCGACTGAGAATCGCCTCTCTTCACTTGCATGCCAAATATTTTGCGGATAAATTTCTGTCAAGCTTCTTCGGGAATTCGACTTTGAGTAGCATCTGATTTTTTATTCCCTAGGAACTGGATAAAGTAAGATTTCGACGAGTTTCGTGAGCTTATTGCACACCGTGTCTCATATCCATGCCACCCTTTGCGTATTGCAGAGTCTTGGTCGAACGCGAGATCGAAGTTCTCGGAGAAGATGATACGGGTATCTAATTTGTTGTTATTGTTACAGGGAGTTCTATTACATCCAAATGGAGAAATACGCGAGGCAAGCTGTTTCGGAAGGGATGAAGAACGTCGACGAACTTCGAGTCGGAGGTGACTCGGAAATCTATCGAGTTCTCAACCTTCATTACAACAGAAATAACCACATTGAGGTAAATACATCTTGCAATTACGTAGTATCTTTTAGTACCATAAAATGCACCTTGCCCTGGATCCATCAGCCATGTAATTTGTAACGTATCCTGTGTACATCACCAAAATCCTTAAAGGAGTAACGAAACATTGACACGAATCAGGGGTCTGAGGACCTAACAGCGATAGCTACCTGGAACAACTAATCGCGCAAATGCAAGATCACTCAAAGCAGGATTGCACGAATTAAAAATATACCTTCGCGAAATTTATTTGTCACGACCAATTGTGTAATCCGTAACCAAAATTTTCCAAACGAAACGTGACCGTATCTGTCGAATTGTTCGCAAGACTCTCCTGGAAGAAACTCGGCAAAAATCATCACAGAAAATCACACGAAATTCCTCTCCTAACGTCACTCCAGAGTATGACAGGTGTATCCGATCCATCCCTGACGAAAGAACAGAAAATCTCGCGCATCTTCACCGATCGACAGCGCACAGCCTGGACCCAGGAACACGCGCCTCTTAACGTGGTTAGAAACACAAAGACACGAGTGGGATCGTGGAGCAGCTGCGCGCGCCATGATTCGCCAATGAAATTCGCGACGTGGCGTCGGGATGGAGCTGTCAGAGTCGAAATTTCGATAGAAGCGAGAAAATTGGCGGCAGTCGGGCCGCTTCTAGCTAAACCGGATGGCAGCGCGCGACCGTGCAATTATTCGGCGGTCGGCCATGACCGCGCTCGCGTTACCCCGGGGTCTTTCTCATCTCGCGGAACGCTTTTAAACGAATTCGAAACCGGTGCCACCGTTGTATCCGGCGTTACAACGCGCGCTGCTGCCTGGCAAATCACTCGTACGTCTCTACTTTTCCCCATTGTGGGGCGCAATTTACTTTCGCCACGGCGTAACGACCGTTGATTGTATTTGCAGCAGCGCGCGACGCCCGGCGTGTGTGCGCGCGTAAAGCAGCTATTTAATATTATTTAACGAGTCTCCGCTGAAACCTGCAGGCCCCATTCTTCCTGCCCCGGCCACAATCGCCGCCCGCTTGACGCGTAATTAATTACTCGTGTTCGTTAATAACCCAAACGTACTAATTATAAGTGGAAACTCTTAGCCCCGGCTCAGCCAGGACCTACCCGCTCGTTAAGCGATACGCGCGTAACATCGCTTTAATTCTTCGGATACGCGGCTCCTTCGGTGAACCGTAATGAGCGCGGAGAAATTATCTTCCTCGTCGTCGCGGCATTTTTTTCTTCTTCCTCTCCCATCGCCCCCTTGAACGGGTTCGCGATAGCCCCCGCCGCTCGCGATGTCGAGCCGAACGCTCGCCACGAACCGACTTCCCATTCGTCCTTTGTGTTTCGATCAGCCGCGCGTTTCGAGGTGTCGGGGGTGAAATTAGCCGTGTCCGATAGGATAGGAGTAACAGGGAGAGAAAGAACGGATAGATATGGAATTTGGACGGAAACGGGTAGAAGACGGATGGAGGGATTGACGACTGGGTTGGAATTTTGCAGGTGCCGAGCAACTTCAGATACGTCGTCGAGCAAACGCTAAAAGAATTCTTCAAGGCGATTCAGGGCGGCAAGGACAACGAGCAGAGCTGGAAGAAGTCCATCTACAAAGTGATCTCGAGGCTGGACGACCCGGTGCCGGAGTACTTCAAGACCCCGAACTTCCTGCAGCAGCTCGGTTAAATCAGGAGGTCGCGTGGCTCTTGCTCTTCGTGGTGCGCGGGCTCATCAGCGCTCGTCGGCTCCCGGTAATACCAAGAAACCAAAAATTAACGATAGCGAATGAAGGAACGGTCAGCGAAGAAGGATCGCATCCGCCAGAGGAGGTACACGTCCTTCGCGTAAAGCGCGTTCAGGTATCCTTAAACTAACATATCGCAGAACGAGCGTGAGAGAGAACGTGAGAGGGGGAGAGAGAGAGAGAGAGAGAGAGAGAGGGGGAGAGAGAGAGAACTGAGAGAGTTGAAAGAGAGTTAGGGAGAGATTGCACAGAGACACGGCGTTCAGGAAGAACGGACTAACGAACGTAACACGCGACGTACGGAGGCATCGATCGTCAGCAGGA